AGGTAATAACAGCATCTCTTTGTAGGCTTGCTGTGAGGATTAAATGAGGTGCTGCACACTTTGAGGAGTGGCATGAGGATATTAAGAACTCTAAGTACTACTACTATTATTTGGTTATCTTTCATTATTGTTTTTTATTTAAATTGTGATTTGGGTGAAAGTTCACAGAGCAAATTCACTTTCCATACAGCAGTTCACACACATTTTGTCTCATGACATTGACTACAATTTACCACAATGCAACAACTTCCCTCCCACTTCCTCTGGATAGTTACCTCTTTCCTGTGCCCATCCCTCCATGAACTCCTGCCCCCTGAGGTGTCTCCCTGTGCATAAACAGCCCTTCTTTCTCCCATGATTGTTCTCTCCAAGGAGTGTATCTACCTCAGGTAAATATTCAACTCATATGCCTGTCTTTTATTTGGCTAGAAGTCACAGGTGTGCATTCAATTCCAGACCTGAAGGGCAGCTAGGGGCCATAGTCTCAGTAGTTCCACCAGGGTCTATAGGACCAGCATACTTGCCCACCCCCTTTTTTTCCCCAAAATGATCTATCCAGGATCCCCTCTATCCAGGATCCCCTACGTAGATCCCCCTCCAAATGGTTGACAGTGGTAGCCAGTCACCATCTAGTTTTCCTGGTCTCATAGTCATATAGGCTGCGGGTCACATAGCGTACCAGTCGCCAGGACTAATTGTTTCCATAAATATTTGGTTTTCTTTATTCTTCTTTGCTCTAGAAGAGGAGAGAGCCATCGTTGCATCTAGATGGCTGCCTGCACGCTTTTAAGATCCCAGTTGTTACGTGCCGAAGTAGGTGGAATGATGTTTTGTGTGGTATGTTATGCCAATTGAACTTGATGTTCCCTGCAACTATGGTCCATCTTTCATTGGGTTTTTAAACATATATTTTCCAAATACAAGAAATAAGTCATAAAAATGTACACATTAACAAAAGTGGGTTTGGTGGTGCTTTCGAGATGAGTGAAGCACACCCCTTGTCACTGCGGTAACAGTTCTCAGACTGGACGCAGTGGATGTAGAGAAGTATCCTAAAGAAGGAAGTTCTGACTGGATTGCAAGACAAAGTCGTTCATTTTTTAGACCTTTTCTGCTTACCTTCTAAGTGTCAGATACTGATGGTGAAAAAATAAGTAATATGTGAGTTGCCCTCTAGGAGCTCACAGGAAAGTTGGAGACAGAGAAGGTCATTGCATAATGTATTGTGAATACTCCAATTGAGCTGAGAACCAGGTGAGTGCTTAGATGGAGGTGGGAACCAGGTGCTCAGCAGGCCCAGAGAACTTGAGAATTTACTGCTGCAAGATAAAAAGCTTCATCCTCTTGAGTTGAATCTTAGAAAATCGTAAGCATTTTCTATTGTACCGAACTGACCTCCTAATAAGGAGCAAGAGTCCCTGTCATTTGGCTTTCTAACTCGGGTCCTGGTACGGTTTCTGAGTTATTTCAGGTCTCTAGAGTGCTCTTTACCCTCTCCTGTGTAAAAAATGGTTCTCTTGGGCCTGTCTTGGACAAAATACTCACTCTAGGGAGGTTCTAGAGGTCACTGTCCAATACAGTAGCCATTAGCCATATGTGTCCACTTAAATTTAAATTCATTAAAATTAAAGATTAAGCTCATCAGTCATGCTAGCCACATTCAAGTGCTGTCAGTCACATGTGACTGTGACTGTCATTTGGACAGCACAGACAACATCATCACCACCACCATAGAAAGTTCTGTTGAACAGCACTGTTCAATGGGGACTTCTGGAGTCATGAAGAGAGAGGGGTGGGGCACTGTTTTTTTTTCTGTTGTTGTTTGTTTGTTTGTTTGCTCAGCCTCAACTACAGCTGAACCTCTGTGCCTGGGTATTCAGGGCTTAGGAGTTTTAGCCCCAAATCTGTCCCAGGCTTTTCAGAGACAGGTGCTGTCAGTAAGACCTTGCTCAGGGACATTTGCTTTCTCCTGGACTACCATTATTCTGCTACTCCTGACAACCCTCTGCGGATTATGGTCTAAAACAGGCATATCATTGCCCAGGTGGAGATCTGGTTCATTGTAAAAGTTGATGAAATATTTACCTATCTATCCAGTCTTCCTTTCCTCCCTCTATCCATCCCTTTTCACTAGCACAGAAATCCTTCTGCGACCAATATAACAATATGTTTGGTTCTCTTAGTATGTGTAAAGAGGGCTGGTCAGAGGGAGGCAACATGGATGTGCCTGGGTTTTATAGGGGTTGGGACAAAGATCACTGCCTCAGAATTGTGCTCGATCTGGGGATGAAAAATATGGTAAGGAGGTTGCCCAACTCTAGCAGTGATTAATAGCTGCCATTACATTTTGGTTTAGCATTCAAGAATGCTGTACCCAGTCAGGCCCAGTGAGCTGTTTGTTGGTGATCAGAGTCACACCACCTTGAATGCATCCACTGCCCTCGATGGATTTATGACAAATTGTACATCTATCTGTATCTTTAGATGCACCAAGAGAATGTGCTCTTAAGGAATACTAAGTTTCTCATAAAGCAAAAGGAACAAAGAAAAACACCTTCTTGCATCATTCAAAGCCTCTTCTGCATACCATTTACTTTCTGATTCTGCCCTCGTTATCACTGTGTCCAAGGAATATCCATTATGACCTGTGATTTGCCACAGAATCATTTTATTGTGTTATGGTGTCTAAAGAGATTAGATAGTGCCAAGGTCTGTGAGTAATGGGTAATGATTACAGAGGTTCCGAGGCTCTCGGGCAGGTTGATTACAGCTGTTATATGACTTGATTTTAGGAGTGATTTGACCTTAAGTTTGGTTATAATTTTCCAGAATAGCTTTCATTTTTCTAAATCCAAATTCATCTGGAAAACATCCAAATGTTATATTATAACAGCTATCTCATTTGGTGTAGTAAGTTGGAGTGTCAGAGTTAGATTGGCACTAAGTCTGGGATGAATGAGAAATCTTTTTCCAGGATGCTTTTTCTCCTTCAATCATGGTTTATCAGCCCCTTGGTTCTGAAGGGGACCTTTCAGTGTCAGTGAAAAATATCCTTGGTTTCATAGACAACATAATATAGTGTTTTTGATCCTCTGTCATTTGTAGTCCCTGGGTAGGCTGGTTACCTGTTGCCTTGCTTCAATTTATGGCTGTCATCTGTAATTTATCAATGGGACCAAGTATGTTTAGAAAGTAAAATAGACAGTCAAAAGCAGCAGCAAGCTGTATCCGTTGGAGCTTATCCAGGTCATATAAAGTGGACAGGGCACCCTCTGAGCCAAGGGTACGCTCACTATCAGTGGTGCCTGCAGTTTCCAGTGGATCAATCGCATCAGGGTAAGGGCAAAAGGGCAATGAGATATCATACACAGGGGTGTGCACCTGTACTGCTGATTATCAACAGTAAAGAACAGGGCCCCTAGAAGAAAGTCCCAGGCCACCTTCCATTCAGGGTGCTTTCCCATCTGTGAGTGCGAGGACCTGCCAGGATTTTTCACCCATTGCCCAGATTCTCACAGGACTTGATCCTCATATGTATTGGGACTCGGCTTCAGGGTAGGTGTGAGAAGAGAAGGGCTGATTGGTTGATCTTGGTCTGGGGAGAAGAGATTTTTCAATCTGCCCCTCATTAAAGGTCTACTTACAGAAAAGAATGTAAAAATAGTTTTATGACACATTTCATCCTAGATAATTAGGATATGATTATCAATTAAGTAAACTATCAATTAATTTACTAAGAACAAGATTGTTCTGGATTGAATTATGTCCCCAGAAAATATGTATTGTAAATCCTAACCTCTGTGCCTGTGGTTGTAATCCCATTTGGGAATGGGTTGTCTTTGTTATGTTAATGAGACAGGATTAGTGTAGGGTACGTCTTGAATCAATCTCTTTTGAGCTGTAAAAGACATTAAGCAAGCAATTAAGAGAGGCAGAAATGGGGGAAGATTGATGCCAAGCCACAAGGCCATCTCCAAGGAACCAGGAAACAGAAGCTGAAGGGACAAGCACCTGCCACCAGAGCTGGCAGATGTGCATGTGTGTGTATATGACCTATCACTAACTTGCTGAACCACCTAGATCAGGATTCTCAACCTCAAAACTATTTACATCTTAGGACAGATGGTTCTTTATTGTCGGGGGCTGTCCTGGGCACTGTAGGATGGTTAGCAGCATCTCTGGCCTCCACCCACTAGATCCCAGCAGCACTCCCCTCCGTGACAATAAAAAACCTCCAGACATTGCTCTGGTTGAGAACCACTATTCTAGAACAAGTCAAGTCATGCCCCAGACCTTAAAGCCCTCAGCAGTAAATGGAGACCACCTGAGGGAGGGTCTTTCATTCCCCTTCCAGACAGTGTCAGATTACCCATTAAGCAAGGTAAGCATTGGCTTGAGTACTAATCTATAGTGAACAATTTCACACATCAAAGATCCTGCTTCTAGGTATGGCTGTCATCTTTCTGTCTCTCAAGCCTATAACACCTTCCTAAAGAATCAAAGCCTCTTTGCAAATCTACAATCCCTGACAGGGATGGAGTACCTAGTAAGCAAGGTAAGCATGAGCTTACTTGTGATTTCTTATTTAGTAATCTTAAGTGAACTGTTTCACTTATTTCATGACATTTCTGATTAGTAAGTAAGCACAAGTAAGCCTATGCTTACTTATTGGGTAATCCGCCACTGCTCCCAGATCTAACCCTCCATGTTTGACTGCCAAGGAGTCCTGCCAGATGCTCTAAAGGCAGGACATCTGTGTTGTTATAAACAGGTATATACATGGAGATTTATTCTTCTTAAGAAGGTTAAACATTTATGCTCTTTCTATATTATCCATTTGCTTATGTAACCTACCATGTCCAGTTACCAAATACCTGAAGATGCATGATATTTTACTAAGAGCCCAAAATGAACTTTGCTTTCATTTTTTACTAAACTATATTTACCACGGAGAATTTTGAAAATGATTTGGCTGAAATATCTGCTTTTCTTTCCCACAGGAATCCTCACACAGAAGAGAGCAAATGAACTTCTGAGCTCAGGTGTACCGGGCAGTTTTCTAATCTGGGTCAGTGAAAGGATCAAAGGCTATGTGCTATCCTACCTGTCCGAGGATGGCTGTAAACATTTCATCATAGATGCCTCTGCCGACTCTTACAGCTTCCTGGGAGTGGACCAGCTGCAGCATGCCACCCTGGCAGATTTGGTGGAATATCACAAGGTAAAATGATTAACAAAATTAATTTGCTTTGTGAATTGTTTTGTCCTGTAGCAGCTCTAACAATGAAAGGCAATTAGGGCAAAAAAAGATTGAGACAAATAATACTGGGATTTGTCTTTGATAATCCCTCCTGATAGAATTCTTAATTGCATTTCTTCTATCATAGAACCTAGTTTCTCCATAAATATTGTGGGAGACCCTACTGAGACAAAGAATACAGGAGATGCTAAAAAAAAATCTAGGTACACACCAATCATTCTTAAGCTATGAGCCCAGGAGAATTCAGGTGTACATGGGAGTTTGGGAGTGAGAAAAATCTTTAAGATTGTCAGACACTAATAAAGTTTAATCTAATTCAAGGGTATGTAGGGAGTGCCATTCTCTGAGGAGAGAGGAAGGGCATGTCATTGTCATTTATACTGCTTCAACCATCTGCCCACCCGCACCCCTGAAACTGCTTTTGTGATTAACAGGTGGAACCCATAACTTCCCTGGGGAAAGAGTGCCTCCTTTACCCCTGTGGGCAGCAGGACCAGCTGCCCGACTACCTGGAGCTCTTCGAGTGACAGACTCCACCTGTGTCATCCCGCACCTTTCAGCTGAGCTTTCCTCTGACAGACACCCTGGAAGGGACATCTGTGTGTGATGCCAAAGTTGCCCTGCAGCAGAGCCAGTACCGATCAACCAGAAATACCCTTGGAATCCTTCTTGAGTGTGCTCTCTGCACAAACTCTGGAGTTTAATGCCAGGTGAAAAGTATCTCTGGATCATATGTACTCCAAGAGGGAGAAGATTCCCAATTTCAGCATCTAGCTAACATGAGGGACACACTGTAATGATGTATATGAGATAAAACCGACAAAAGAGGAAAATGAAGCCTTTTAGAAATTAAGGTAATTCATACCTCAGTTAAGCGGCTTGTGTGAACCATTTTCTGATGTAGACATCAGAGCACATTTCCTCTCTGCACCATCCCCAAAGGTCTCAGGGTCCTGTTTATGTAAAGTCTGGTGCTGCCTTTGGCGTGCTGGCAAAGAGCTTTACTGATGGCCAAGATGATCTACAAAGCATAATCCAGTTGTGCATTTTGGAGCCAGGATGTAAGAAAAATAGGAAAATAGACATTGCAAAACAAAGTTTTAAAATATGAGAGGCTGACCAAGTACAAAAATTACATACAGCCAGAGGGGAAGTCAGCAAGCACTCGTGAGTTTGTTTCCTCATTCTGAACAAAAGGGCAACACTCACCCCTGCCTACTTTGTGCTCTGTACTGGAGTGCAAGAAGAATAAGGCACATGCAAATATGAGGTGTCACTAGTGCTGAAGAGAGAAGAACGACTCATCAAGCTGTTTGGATACTACTTAATGTAATAATGGAACCTGACCTGCATTATGTACATACTGTCCACCTTATACAAAATGAAGTAAAAAAAGGGATATGAGAGTAACCTTCCAACTAACTCTGTTTAGCTCTAGGACATGTTTGTGTTCAGTCAGGAGTCTTGTGTCCCACTGCACCCACTGGCCCCTCCAGCAACTCTCAGGCCAGTCTCACTCAGGGGGATGTCTTTGGGCAGTGAACCACGAGGCTCTGAGCCACTGAGATCATCTTTTCTGGGAAGATGGAGATTTATGTGTACTTCAGACCTAACTCCCTGTGTCAGCATTCTTTTAAAGTGCCTCTTAAAGATAGAAGAATGATATATCAATTTGTTCATGAGGTTTTGGTTATGTAAAATGCTCACTGACAGTGTAAAATGTAATCCAAGGATGCTATGTGTGTTTTAATGGAAAAGCTGTTAAATACAGATCATTGTTAAGTGTTTCTTGACATTTTCCACGGGGACTATATTGTTAAACTATTATAATAAGAATCTGTTTCTTGCCTTCTGTTTCTCACTATCATTCAACAATTACAGCATTATAGAGTAGGAGAAAGAGCACAAAGCTAAAAGTCAGAAAACTGGATTCTCTTCCCATCTCTTCCCACCGTTAGCTGTGTGATCTTAGATAGGTCACTTTACCTCTTTAAACCTTGTTTTTCTTTTCTGCAAAAATAAGGCATTTTAACCAGGTGATCTTTATTAAGGTCCCTTGCAGCTCTGAAAGCTATGGTTCTGGTTCTGTTATGGGAATTAATAGAAATGTCTCTTACAGTCACTAATAATTTTGAATATATATAAGATTCAGACATTCCCTCTGCCTAAATTATTTTAGAAGAAATAAATATGGTTATATTCTGATATAAATACACTAAGAAACATCTCTGGTAGCATAGTGGCTAAGACACTTGCCTGCTAACCAGACGGCTGGCGGTTCAAACCCACCAGCCACTCCTCGGAAGGAAGGTTGGGCAATCCTACTTCCGTAGTGATACTGCCTCGGAAACCCAAGGAGGGGTTGCTATGAGTCGGGTTTGACTCGACGGCACATAACAACAACAACAACAAGAAACATCTACAGAAGAAAGACTTAGAAAACAGGAAAGGACCATACTGACTCAATATGACAAATGGGAAAGGATATTTGAATTCTGTACTATTTTGTCCTGTTACTGGTTTTCAGAGGAATAAATTATCTAGTGTTCAATGAAATGATGGCTAAGAATAATATTTGAAGTTCTTAGGAAATGAGAATTGTTTACAGAATTCAGAAATTGATTGCAAGTAATTGGAGTTGATGGGATACAGATTCATCCCAGCTGTGCTTTTCTTTCAGTCTTATCTGTGTCAACCCTAGTTCTGGCCTAAAGTGAAAATGTGCAAACCCTGACCTCTCTCCCTTTCTAAGTACTCTCAACAAGCCCAGTTCCCTTCCTGCTAAAGTTTTCTTGGTCTGGGATGTTGCCGTGTTTCCTTTGACTAGGATCCCACTAATAGGAACTTTTATTGCCTGCCTCTTTAGGATTGTGCCCACATTGCCATTCCTCACCCATGTTGATTCTTCTCTCTTTCAATTTTCTCTTGGTTATTTCCCTCTCACAATGATCCTAGAATTTTTGGCTGCTACCTCCATATTATCTTTTGGTTGGGAGCTCTGGTAGCGTAGTGCCTAAGGCACCTGACTGCTAACCAGAAGGCTGGTGGTTCAAACCCACTAGCCACTCCCTTGGAAGGAAGGTTGGGCAATCTACTTCTGTAGTGATACTGCCTCAACAACCCAAGGAGAGGTCGCCATGAGTTGGGTCCAACTTGACGGCACATAACACCACCACCACCACCTCCATATTGGCATACCCTCACATACCCATCCAATCCCATCGGGTCACCTGTAAGCCTCCTGGTTGTGGGCTCCTACTCTGCTGACTGTAGTCAGATGCACAAAAAAATATTACTTTGTCTCTACCAGCATCCCCATCAGTGCTAGCAATGTCAAGAAGTGTTACTGAGTGGCACAAACCTTACACTAAGAAGAGGAGAAACACTGAGATAATTGTGAAAGGATCAAAAAAGGAGAGAAAAGTTAAGATGGGTATAGGCCAAACTCCAAACTATGCCATCCAGTTGATCTTTATGGAAGCAGACTGCCTTGTCATTCTGCCACAGACTAGCTGATGGGTTTGAACCACTGACCTTTTGGTTAGCAGCCAAATGCCTTTAGATTAAAAACAAAAACAAAAAAAAAAAAACTTCATGATCTAAATTTTTGCAGTTACCACCATCTATAAAGGCAGCACGAGTCCAAACATGTTTATATAACCCTCACACCTTGTGAGGGTGTTGAGGTGCTATGTGGTGCCCTGCTATGTGGTGCCCAGAGAAGATACATTGATTTACATATGCTTAGATATATCTTTGCATTCATTTTTGTCAAGAACCTGATAAACCTTTTGCTTCAAGTTGCATCACACAGGTCTTCATCCAGCATGTAAACTTTCTTCAATTATGTCTTTGAGTAACACTTCTGTTCGAATTGTGAGTTTTTTTCTCTTCCTTATGGATAGCAAATAATTCTCACTTTAACTTCTGTTTTTTGCCTTCCAGTTTTGTGATCCCATCATTGTTTGCATCTCTCAATGTTTTTCCTTTGCATTTTGGGAGATCTTCTCATCTCTGCACTTTCAACTTCACAGATTTATTTTATTTTATTTATTTATTTTGCAATTTTGATCCTGCTCTTCACAACCTCCACTGGGGATTTAAGTCCTATTACATTTCCTGTTTGCTTTCTATTGCTGCCCCAGACTGAAAACTATCAGGAGGCTTAAATGATAAAAGTGCCCTCTTTTTAATGTGTGGTAAAAACATATTACTTGTTAATGAGATAACCTGAACAGAGCAGAAAGCAAGCCCAGGAGGCTTGGGTTTGAATCCTAGCTATACCATTAACTAGCTGTGTGTAAACTTCAAAGGAAAAAATACTAAACTTTTCTGAGCTTCAGCTTCTTCATCTTTAAAACAGGAGCTATCAAAAGTCACCTCACTAGGTTCTGAGGATTAGGAGAGAAATGTTAAGTGACTTCTTGTTGTTTTTATGTGCCATCGAGTCAGACCCGACTCATAGCCACCCCTCCTTGGGTTTCTGAGGCAGTATCACTACAGAAGTTGATTGCCCCATCTTCCTTCCGAGGGGTGGCTGGTGGGTTTGAACTGCCAGCCTTCTGGTTAGCAGTCAAATGCCTTAGGCACTATGCTACCAGAGCTCCAGTAAGTGTTGTTGTTGTTGTTATGTGCCGTCGAGTCGGACCCGACTCATAGAGACCCCTCCTTGGTTTTCTGAAGCAGTATCACTACGGAAGTAGATTGCCCCATCTTCCCTCCAAGGAGTGGCTGGTGGGTTTGAACCTCCAGCCTTCTTGTTAGCAGTCAAGTGCCTTAGGCACTACGCTACCAGAGCTCCCTCCATTAAGTGACTGGTATATAAAAATCTCTGTAAATCGTAATTATTCCTAGTGAGTCAAGGGTCCAGCAAAGCCTGGACTTGAGCTCCATAAGCCCCCTTTATCAACTCAGTTTCCATAACCAGTGACCTGTGTATCCTAATGAACCATTTCCTAGAGTTTCTAGGATGGATTTTTAGGGCAAACGAGAAAAATAAGAGCTATAAAGATGAACTCTTAATACATTAGTGAGCTTTCAGCTACAGAGAAATGCTCACTTAGTTTGGATGAAAGGACATAGAGAAGGCATTTTCTAATGTCTGATTTTGACAGCCTGCAAGTTAGCAGTAACTAGTCTTCACCCCCAAAATTGGCCATTGACACACTGATTCAATTCCTCTGGAATTCCTGATCACAAATATGTACTTCCATTTTTGACCAGACGACTTGTTGCAAGCCCAGCTCCCTCTGGGATTAACTCTGCCTCTCTCTCCTGGACAAATCAGCCAGTGCCACTGCCAGCTAGGTGGCAACCCCCTGCTGCCCTTGTCAGTCGAAATCAGCTTTTATTTGTATTTAGCTGAAAGGAGTTCCTTTATGGAATCTTCTCACCAACTGAGTCAAAATCTCAGTAACCCCACCACTACCACCATTGCCACCCAGTAGTTTGCCTCTACAAAGAAACAAAATGGTGAATACCTCATCTTTTGGGGGTGCTCTCTCACTGATATGCTAGAGCTCCAGAG